AACGAATACATAGTGCAAAATGGATGAACGCGTATTCAAGATACTCTCGCTGCGCAATATATGGAAAATGGAGGCGTGTGCTGTGTGACTCAGATAATAGGAAAAAATCAGTTTACATGAGAACAGATGCATTACATAACAATATTGATAACAAAAAGTGTATATACATACAAAGCAAAATGGAAAATGGCTAAAGGGAACTACAGCGTTTCTGTTCATTGAACTGTCGATCTAGAACAGAATTCAACAAGTTGGTAGCACCGGGTCAGCAGAACAGCGACACGCAATATCAATTAAACTTTTGAAATAGGCTTTATATGATACGAGTGTAATACATTACATAAATTGATGACTCAAATGCAATACCTGGTTGAAGGTGCCATATATGGTGACAATGCAGATATGCAGATATTATCCTGCCATTTTTTTAATATTGCGCGCGGGACATTCACAATGGTGATTATGTAAAACCTAGCATTTTGCTGAGTAGGCAATATGCACATAAGTGAGTGTGTGTGTATGGGTTTGGCAGTGTGTACATATTATATGAATGTGTGGACAGATGTATACATATATACATGAAGATTTGTATATATAGCTATATATACGTGTTTGTGTATATCTGTATAAGCCATAGAACGCTATAGAACAGCGGAAACAACTATCGTCAGGAGAGAGAGAACGAGTGACGAATTTTGCTGAGATAGCAGCCGTTCGCAGACTGACTGACTATACATTCACATACACTCATACGAAATACAGGCATACAGATACACACACACCCGCCGCTGTCACGATTGATAAATATATACATACATCTGTGCATATGTATGTACACAAATGAAAAAGCGAAACATGCGGTCGCCCGCCAGTCAGAGTTTTTATAATAGCTACATAATTCCGCAGAAAATAAGTATATACTTGTGAAACGTTCAGATGCTGTTACAATTGTTGACTGCAAAGGAGGCAGCGATTTATATCTTTATATGATTGTTTCGGCGCACACATTGGCGTTGGCGTCGGCGTCAACGAACCTGGCGCATGTCCTTGACACAAGGATATCTGTGTGATTGGCTGATATCAGTCGATTACATTTTTTCTCCACTTGTGATTTTTTACAACAATTAATGGGTTTAATTATTTTCCGCAAATGCTTACCTGACACCTGCAAACAATGTCCACCTCCGAGGCTAGCATGTCTACCACCTTGCCTTTGCCTTCATCGCCCCATTGGGCGCCTAGGACAACATTCACCTTGGACTTGTACATGTTGGTGCGTCCTTGATGCAATTGCTCGTAATGATTACCGTTAATTGCGCTTGTTGTTGACATTTCGTACCACTAACTGGAAAATCTCGGCACGACCACGAAAACGAGCACGACGTTGATCTCGCTTGAAAACGGAACACGTTCTGTTTTTATAACATAGTTTGATTTGCAGCTGTCAGTGCATGGCGTTGCCGTAGAATATGCAAGATTCACTCTTTTACTTTATTCTATAGAGCTGCCAGAATGTTTTAGTTGCAATACGTTATCAAATGATACGAAAACAAAATTTGCAAACTAATATAGTTTGAATAAAATAATATTTATTAATTTTTGATTAATTACGGACTTTTAAATATGATAGGCGCCAATTTTAAGCTTTTCTTGAGTGTTAAAATTTCGAGTAGCAAATATTTGCCATTCAAAGTAAGGCGGCAACATTACGCATAGGCTGGCAGCACGAAACAACATATGGTTAACGGCTGCATTGTTTTGGTAGCAAGGCATATAGTTTATTAGACACTATGTCTGAAGGTGCGGAAAAATGCCACTTGTATGTATCTGAGAATAAAATTATTAAATTATATTAATAATATATCTTCCTTCCTTCAGTTGCCATGAGGCACCTTTCAAATACACTTGCCCCAAGTGCAATGCGATTTATTGCAGCGTGGCTTGCTACAAATCAAAGGCGCATCTCAAATGTTCCGAAGAATTTTATAAAGCGTGCATACAGGACGAATTGGCGAGTGCAACCACAACACCCGAAAGTCAAAAAGATATGCGTAAAATATTTGATATTCTGAAACGAATGCGCGAATCAGATGCTGGCTTCAAACCAGAGGATTTTGATGCAGATGGCTTAGACAATCCCTTGGACTCGGATGACGACGACGCGGAACCAAAACAAAGTGACGATGAGGTTGAGGGAGATGCGGATGGCATAGAGGATCCTTATGCTGAGGAAGTGGATGAGATTGTAGATATGGCTACGCGTCTCAAGGGAATCGACATAAATGATGCGGATGAGGTTTGGAGTCGACTCACAGCTGAAGAGCAACAGGAATTCCAGAAACTAATTGCAAGTGGTGAAATAATGAAACTAATGCCCGATTATAAGCCATGGTGGTGCAAGCCTAAGAATTCCAAGATTGTTGTCCTTCCTGCAGCAACAGATGATAAAATTGACATGCCTGAAATACATAAGAACATTCCCACATTCACAAGCTTGTGCAAAAAGACGCCTTCGCCCTGCCTGCACTACAATCTCTGGAACATCTTGAGCGCCTATGCTTGCGTGGCCCGATTTTTTGGCGGCGAGCAACGTACCAATGCCAGTGAAGCTGTTGCGCACTTGGTGAATCTTAGTGCAACGTTGAAGTATGGCACCAACTTCGAAGATGCTGAGGACGCCATTGTATCCGTGCAAATGGAGGCCTGTACCACAGGCAATGGACCCGCCGGTGCCGCAGCAGTTGGCAGCGCAGGCGCAGGCACAAATTTTCTCGTGGAGAGTCGCGAACAATTGCAAGAGGATGCACGTCAACTTATGTCCACAGCTCAACATAAACTGGCAGCATTGAGCGATATCCTCCAGCTGCTACAGCAGAGCAAAGCGCTAAGCAAACGAAAACATTCAGAGGAGGCCGAATTCCAAAAGCTGTTCGCTCTAGCCAGTGGAAGTGTCGAGCTGAATCGAACCAAACTCTCGCAGTTGATTAAGAAAATTGAATTTATGCTCTCGTATGTAGCGCGAGAGGAGTTACTATGAGAAATCTGTCAAATAAATAAAAAATTTAGCTTTAGCACACTTCTTAAATTGGTTATTAATAATGGACAACAGAATCAACACCCATGTGCGAGTCATATTGGCCAATTGGTTACACTCAGCTCTGTCGGTTATTGAACCCAAAGTAAGTAACTTGGCATGTTTGAGCTTATGAATTAATTCTAATTTTCTTTGAACTGAGAGCGTTTTGACAAATCAACAAAATAACACATCGTATTCTGTTATCTTAGCCTAACATTCAACTCTTAACTAACAGAACAGAGTATAAAACACAAATATGCTTGTACCGTGTCTTAAAAAGTACAAAATATCATTCCAATGATTTATCAAATGATTCCTACAATTTAATTTTGTTTCAATATATATTAATTGTAAGACAAATTCGTTTGAAATTTACACATTTGCAATTAAGTATGTGTCATTACTGTATTGGAGCTGCAAACCTGTCGCAACGAACCAGTAGCGTTTGGTAGCCCTCGCTGGCACAAAGTCTAGTTGTTACTTGCCAGCCCTGCTAGTTTTTTTTAGTTGACGATTTCAGACACACACGCAAGTTGTAGTGCTTTTTACGGCTATTTTGTTTTTTGGTATGTTCAATTGAATCGACACGGCATTAAATGCAAATATTAGTCGTGTGCCACAATATGCCAAATGTCTAAAGATTTCAATTAATTCATGTGGCAAGGCAAAAGCAACAACAACAGCAATAAGAACATTGGATAGAACATTTCGTGTGAACGCGTTTACGTTTTGGGTGCGGACAACAGTGCGGGATTGTGTAGCGGAATGTTGTATACGTGTGTATGTGTATATGTATGGGTGCCTGCTGGTGTGTATGAAGTGTTCTTCTTCGCTGCGCTTCAGTCGCTAAATTAGTGCAAAAAAAAGGAAACAATTTGAGTGAGCAAGTGTGCGTGCGTGTGTGTGAATGGCGCCCATTAAGTATTAAACAAAACATTAAGTTCTTTAGAATTAGAACTTATATAAGCTAAGCAGCTGGATACAGGTGCAAATATTTGTTATTAATTCGTAAAAATGTTCAATCTTGGCCAAAGATAAACGAGTTTGGGCCTTGTGCGCGCTGCTTATCTTTTTTAGACTACAGCTCCTTAAGTGTGTGTGTGTGTGTGTGCGTGCGTGTATGTGTTTGGCTGTGCTTGTATCTCTCTGTGTGCGACTGCTTATCTATCTCGACAAATATGCGAAGTATGCGTCAACCTGTTTGTTAACTTTCTGTTAAAAATTTCTACTTCAATGCTACGGCGTCGGTGACCGCCACGATGACAACAAGAAAAACAGCAATAGCAGCAGCAGCAGCCGCAGCACCGATGACATCTGCTGCAACAACAATAATCAAATTAATAAACAACTTGACTACGAGAAATCAAAGTCGCATAACGTGTACAATGCTAAATAAGTAGTTATGACTGCATGCAGCTAAATTTATAACAGCACACAGCGAACACAACACCCAATGGAAATAAAACACCGCAAGCAATACGGCGCAGAGCGTTGACGCTGGCTGATGACGATGTCAAAAGCGAAGCTCCGCTCAGCTCAGCTGCCAGTTCGTCCGCTCCACAATCGCTTGTCACTCGTCTCGGAAAGTGGATGGGGCGCAGCCTATTCCCAAACGGAAGGCTCTCTCTCACTCTATTGCTTGGAGCCCGGCCAAACGCCGGCAGTCAGTGACCGAATGTCTGCATGCGGCTCCATTGATAACGTGTGTCTCTATCTGCATATGTGTGTGAGAGTGTGTGTGTGTGTGTATACCTGCCTATGTGTGTGTGCGAAAGTGTTTGACAGGCAACCTTTGCATTGTTTACAAACAGCTGACGAGTTTGCTACACCCTGTGAGGAGAAGCATATAAGAGTTTGATGTTTTTGCGGAAACATGTCATAAGCTGAGGACATAAAGACATACATACATGCTGATGTAATCAATAATATATTTAAATACTTGCGCTATACCAGCAGTAGAACTAATCTTGATGTTTCTTAGAAGAACCCCATGCAGTTTCTATTTAAATTATAAGGCTTTACTATGATTGTTTACACATTTGATTTCTTCTTTATGAGAATTTGATGTTGTGGAATTGTATATAGGGTGTCTCTTAGTCGATAGGATTCGTTTTGTTCACCGATTGTCTGCAACTCATTGTGCGTTTACCAAATCAATCGTATAACGTATTGATTTAAGCGCCTTGAGATAGCTATAAAAGTGTTCCCAATTTCCACCTCACATACATAACTGAAGCACTGTTATCAATATAGCATATCAATATATGTTGTATATATTAATGTGTGTGTATATATACATACCTATGTATGTGTGTAATCGCATTGGGCGCGTACATAAGAGGATCGAAGCCGTAAACGGCGCCAATTAGTTTCACAATTGGTTGGCCTTTTAAATCAAAACTCAATTGAGTTTCAGTCTAGCAGTAAAATGGTTTGTTTATTTTAATAAATATAAAAATAGAATGATGTCTTACCTGTTTACATGTCCAAATACCATGCTTAATTGTAACCTGTTGACGATGTTATTCGTAGGTTCCATTAACAATAGAAAATACACATATTTTTAGGCTTTTACGCTGACGTTTTATTGATTTATACATGTTGTCATAAAACGAGTATGAAAATTCCTTATTAATTGCTGAATGGTGATGCGCAATATGTATATATTTTTTTTTTAATTGTGTAATTTTGAAAGATTTCAACTACGTAAGCTAAATGAAATACATATAATTGAGTACATATTGCTTTCGAGTAGTTGTATGCCATCATGCGAAATACATATATCTCTACTTGTCCGAGGGGCGAGCACAGTGATCGTTTATTGTTGTACGAATAGTCGATTTATTGCTGCTTGAAGAGCCGATGTGTGTTGCCTTGCCATTAAATGTAGTCAGATAAATCCAATACTGAGTCAGTTGGTCGTCTGTTAAGCTCCAAATTGTTACTTATTTAATTGTTTTATTTTAGGAAATGTCCCACCACAGCGATGAACAGCTTCTGCAGGCTGGAAGTGATTCCTTCTGGGAGCCCGGCAATTACAAACGAACCACCAAACGCATCGAAGACAGCTACAAGTGAGTATGAAAATACAAATCGTAGACACTGTTAGGGTCATTGCCAGCAATAACAAACTGGAAAACCAGTTATTTGTATTGTCGCTCTCGCTCACTCTCTCTGTGTGTCTTTCCTTCTCGCTTTCTCATCTGCCCGCACAGACTCTGCAATGACCTACAGCAACTGATACAGGAGCGTGCCGATATTGAGAAGGGATATGCCAAAAGCTTGCGCGCCTGGTCAAAGAAATGGGGTGAACTCATTGAGAAAGGTAAGCGAAACGAGTTAATAATTTGTTGGCGACTGCCCAATACTCTGCACATTAATAACAGATTAGAAATTAGAAACAAATACAGGTTGTAGTGATTCCTTTTCTAAGCATTTGTACATACAAATATGTATGCTCAAAGCTCAAGTCTTGCTTTCGTTTGACTCGATTTGCAAAGGAAATTATTATTGTGTCACATAACAATGACGGCGACATTTACTGAATAATGTATGAATGTAAAGTAGGAGGAAAAGAGTTATAAAGAAACATTAAATACTACGTACTCTACTTGAATATGTAACTGTATGCATATAACCGTGTTATTTGTTTACACACATTCATTCACGCCCGCTCAGCGGACCAATGGAGCAACAACAACAACTACAGTGATGACCCGTTGCCAGCGTCACTGCTCAGTGGGCTGACAGAATTCAGTTCTTATTTTGCCACATTTTGTGTACACTGCGCATTGTTGCTGTGCGATAAGTGGCTTAAGCTATTAATGGGCTTTTTGTTGCCCCCTTTTTTTTTGTTTTTGTTTTTGTTTTGCACTGTCTCATACCTGTTGTCATCGGCAGCTTCGCACTCTGGTGCCAAATCACACGAAATTGTTTTAGAACTGGAAAACTATTCCATCAAGTGTTCAAAACAAACTGTTAGACAGGTTAAGGCTGTTAGGCAACTGATAAAGTCGTTAAAAAATATTGAAATATCATTTCAGCTAAGCTTCTTTTATGGCTTATGTTCCATTTATGTTAAATTGTAGTTTATCTAAAAAAAAACTGATATTAAACTCAACAAAGGTCTTATTGTTATGCCAATCAATTTGATAACCAGTTGATAGAGCTCTTCCTTTAGTGTGTGGAATGCCGAATTTCCCTAACAGGCAAATGTCACTACACCGATTTCAGTCGTTTTCGTCGCCATTTCAGTTCCAGTGTGCGCGATGTCTTTGTGAAATGAAATCGAGTACACTGTGAGCAATGTTGGTTACCAGCTTTTGCTATTGCTAATGTTTTTGCTTTTGTTTTCTGTTATGCCCGCCTTTGCTCTCAGCCCACTTTCACGGTGAGCACGACGACAAAGAGCAATGGCAAAAAAAAAGCAAAAAAAAAAAAAAAAAAAAAAAAGCAGCGGCTTCATCGAGCGCGCGACAATATTGTACGGAATTTGCCTAGTTGCGTCTAGCTAGAGTTATCAACGGGCCACCGCTCAAGTCCCTTTACCTCAGCCGGCACACCCACTCAGCCAATTGAAAGAGTAGCATAGCAAACCGGCACCAAAGCGTCATTCGAAATGGTTTCAAAAATCAATGCGATGAGAAAATAGAACGTGTTTATTTTTGTGCTAAGCGCCTCAATCTGTATGATGCGCGCTTGTATGTGTGTATGCGTGTGTGTGTGTGGGGTGCCAATTGAGAATAGTTGAGTGGCCGTTAGTCAAAATGGTCAAACGAGTTTCGTGCATTCCCAATTTGCAATTATTAAGTGGGCATCGTATAAACTCTATTACGGTTTTTCAGTTGTTGTTAGCATACCGTAAACATGCCTAAGCTCTGCCGTACCCACTCACTCCCCATACAAGCCCCACACACATGCACACATTGGCAACCGACTTCCAGGTGATTAGATAAAAAATGCCTGTTGTTGATGACATCAGCAACATGACAGAAACTCTCGAAAATCGTTTAAAAATTACACATCATTACCACTAAAGAATATGTGACGAGTTCTGATAATCAATTTAATTGGATTTTGGTTTCGATTCGATTTTAGGACCAGAATATGGCACAACGGAAGCAGCTTGGAAGGGTGTATTAACCGAAGCAGAGCGATTGTCAGATGTACACATGAAGATCAAGGATAATCTGTGCAATGATGTCAATAGTCAGATTAAGACCTGGCAAAAGGATAACTACCATCACACACTCATGCAGATCAAGGAACGCAAAGACATGGATGATCTGTTCAAAAAGGCACAGAAGCCCTGGGCCAAATTGCTGGCCAAAGTGGAGAAGGCCAAAGCAGATTATCATGCAGCATGCAAAACGGAACGTAGCGCCACCAATCAAGAGCGCAACGCCAATGCGGACAGCTCGCTGTCGCCAGATCAGGTTAGTTCTATACTATAACCGATAGACAGTATCGACAGTTGTATGGCTTTGCTTTATTGCGTATTATTTTGCAGGTGAAAAAGATGCACGATCGCGTGCAAAAGACCAAAGATCAAGTTCAAAAGTGCCGCGAGAAATATGAACAGGCCATTGGCGAAATAACCAAATATAATTCCGTTTACATTGAGGATATGACATCCGTATTTGAGAAGTGCCAAAACATGGAGAAGACACGTCTGCAGTTCTTCAAAGAAGTGCTATTTAATGTGCATGAGTGTCTCGATCCAACCAAAGTGCAAAAGTAAGTATCAACGGTCGATTTGGCTTTTTTAAAATCAATTTTGAAATCTTTACCATTTACCATCTCTTTTATTGCAGCCTGTCCCAAATCTATGAGGAGTTCTATCATACAATCAACAATGCGGACCAACAAAAGGACTTGAAATGGTGGTCAAATAACCATGGTATCAATATGGCCATGAACTGGCCTGCATTTGTGGTAAGTGTTTAGATGGTATTCTAATGAACTCATTGTAAATTACTTTGTGTTTGCAGGAATACACGGAGGAGTTCCGTGATATAGCCAAGGGCAACAAATCGAAAGAGGCTCTGCCTGCAGCGGCCATAACGCTCATCAATCAACGACCCGTCGCCGAGGATGTGCATGTGTGTTTGCTGCATGTTTAATTAAATGCATAATTGTCTTAATAATTTCTTTAATTATTTACCGCACAGGAGTACCCTTCTACAAATAGTCTAAAGAAGAACGCAAGCGTTAGCAGCAAAGCGAGCGGCAAGAGCAGCCAGCAGGAACAAGCATTAAATCAAACCTCTGCCACAACAGTCGAAACTAAATCAACGGTGTCGACAGCATCGGCGGCTGGCGCTGCGACGGCAGCAGCAACGGCAGCGTCAGCGGCGGCGGCTTCAAATCGCAATTCGAGCGTAACGTAAGTTGGACACTGTTTCTGAATTTGAATTGTTTGGGATAGTACACTTCAGTGGTCACAGCTGTAGCTGCTTGCTACTATCTGGATTTGTCGCTCATTTTCATTGAACTAATTGATTTCAATTTGCATGCACACACAGTAATGGCAACGGCAAAGTCGACGCAAACCCATTCGACGAGGAGGAGGAGTGGGATGAGGCTGACAATGTGCTGGTCGACAACGGGGAGCCGGGTGTGCCAGTGAAGGCCTTATATGACTATGACGGCGCTGAAAGCGACGAGCTTACATTCAAGCAAGGTAGGCATCGATCACACACATGTAGCACATATATCTCGTTTTTCCCTTCTAATCATTAATGTCTATTTCGTCAGGTGATGTCTTTGAGAAACTAGAGGATGAGGATGAACAAGGCTGGTGCAAAGGTCGCATGAATGGCCGAGTAGGCTTGTATCCGGCGAACTATGTGGAAGTAACTAACTCATAAATGGTCGAATTATCTGATGACGAGCAGGGCGGGCAGTGGTTAAATTAATGTCATTTACAGACATTGAGAATATTTAGATACCAAGATAATACATTTAAAGTATATAATGCAGATTGCGTTTAAAGTAAAAAAAAATACAGTCGTTGAAGAAATTATAATATGTATTAGAATTTGTTATGAGCAATTGCTCACACCAAGGTGTGGCATCTTATGTATTAGGCATAAAATTTGTATTGAGCAAAGGAAATCCAACCTACCAACAAATAAAAGAAAATAACAATAAAAAATAAAAACATAAATAAGATGAAAGAACTCACCCACAGTAGAATGCAAATGAATGTAGTTGAAACAGGAAAAATATGGATACAGATTAACGTAGATAAAACGTCGACAGAACAATAAGTGTAAACGTCAATGTATGAAATAATATTACAATACTATTACATATGTATTATGCTCTAGCTAAAACTGATATGAACATGAGTTTTTTAGAATGTGCGCGCATTTTTACTAGATTCAGCTGGCCGTTCACATTTTGTGGCCAGTTGTAATCTGCGTACAATTTAAAAAGCATATTTAAATATGTGCGTGGTATTTGTAATGCGTTTCATGAACATATTTTTATTATTTATGAAGTTTTGTGTATACTTGTGTTATAAAAAGTATACGTATATTATTGTATATGTACATTTTTAATTGACTTAAATTATTGAAATAAAACAGAAAATACAAAAAGCGAATAACAACTCAATGCATTATAATTATAATTCCTTGCTATGTTTCTTGGATAACTATCATATTCTAATTGTTATCATCAGAGAAAATACCGAAATATCTATCATTAAATACTTATCCACTTTCAATAGGCATTACTCAAATATGTACACATGTGCTGTCGATAAACGAGCGCAGAAGCTGAAGTTCTCATAAATGGCATTGAGAGTTGCGATAAAACTGAATCCGAAGTTAAACTTGTGCTCTGAGTAATATATGGAGATTATAATAGCACAGTTTGATTCAGGAAAGCAGCGCGATCAGTCCAACACGCAATGGGCATATAATAGCTGGTCAACTTATTCAACCGGAAATGGCTTGGCTTAGCGATAGATCCGCCGGACAGAAGACTTGGAAAATTTGCATTATATGTGGCATATTTCTACTCATTTTTCTCTATACTTTCACAACTTCCCCAACACTGAGTTCTATAGCGACAGATTTGACTGACAACTTATACGATGATTATATTGCATGCGCAGAAGAAAATGCATTTAATGAGGGCAATATCATTTTGACTTCGGCTGCACCGCAGCTAGGGCCTTTACGAAACCCTTCCGGAACGTTGGGTAAAAATATGGTTTGTTGCAATAATCAAATATAGCAAGGTATTATATTAACCTATAGGTCCCAACATCTTGGATAACTATTTTGTGTACACCTCACGATGTCGTATGCCCGCTATAAATCCATTTGCAAGAGATGCGCTGAGAATCTTTGAGAATTCAACCTATTCCTCTTGCGATAAAACAAAGGCTCTAATATCTGTGAGTTACAATGAGACGGATCGACGTTATAAGCTACACATGAATATAGCAGACATCAGATGCTGCTATAAAAAGATTCTGCGCGACGGAAATGGTGCGGAGGCGGACAACAAGTTCAAGTAGATATACATATATTTTATTTGATTCGACAAATGGAGAGTCAAAACTAATTGTGATCGTAGATTGTGGTCATGTAAATATTTCCAACAGGACTTTGTCCTGCCTCATGATATGGATGCCATTATCACCGAGTGTCGTCGTCTGAAGGACAAAAAGCTGCTGCAACAGGATGCTTTTAGCTTTGTGCAACCAGGCAAACATGTGGCCAATCGAACAGCTTCAATTGCCTTAAATATAGGTCAATCAACGCCAGCTGAAAACAGGCCAAGTGTCCTGCTTTGGGGCATTGATTCCATGTCGAGAATGAACTTCCAGCGGACTATGCCTCAGATGCACAAATTCTTGCGAGGAGAGAATTGGCACGAGCTGCAAGGATACAACAAGGTTAGTGCACTAGATCATTTATTAATTATATAGTTAATAATCAATCTCTAAGATGGGAGACAACACATTTCCCAATTTAATGGCGATTCTGACAGGATTCAATAACTCCCGCTCCATGTCTGTCTGTCGGCCAAAGGCTGTCTCTGGCATGGATGCTTGTCCTTTACTCTGGAAGGACTACAAGGAGTTGGGATATACTACAGCCTACGCCGAGGACTGGGGCCGGTTCGCCACCTTCAACTACAATAAGAAGGGCTTCGTCAAACCACCAACAGATTACTATCCACGACCTCTTGTGCTGGCCATCGAGAAGGAACTCAAGAAGGCATTGGTATCCAATGTTCCCTACTGCGTGGGTCGTCGACATTATGCGGAGTATATCTACGATTATGCAATACAATTTACGAAGGTCCATAAGAATGAGTCCACCTTTGGGATGTTCTGGACAAATTCGTTTAGCCATAATAATTTTTCCTTGCCCTCATCCATGGATGTTAAGATGCTTGAATATATGCACTCATTGCAAAGAGTTGGCATCTTTGAAAAGTCTATTGTGATATTTTTCAGTGATCACGGCATGCGGTTTGGTCCACTGCGTAACCTGCATAGTGGGTTTCTGGAGGAGCGTATGCCAATATTTTATATATGGCTTCCGAATTGGTTTAAGGCAAAATATCCAGAGTTTGTGCATAATTTGCAGCTGAATAGGAATCGCTTAACGTCTCCGTACGACATCCACGCCACATTGAAGCACATTTTGCAGCTGGAGACACCGCTAGCGGACTTGCCACGACCCGAAGCATGCTCCACTTGCCATAGCATCTTCTACGAAGTAGCTGAATCGAGAGATTGCTCAGATGCGGGGATTGAGGACCATTGGTGCACCTGCCACACGTTAAAAAACAGTTCACGTAGCGAGATTCACATAAAGGAAATTGCACAGCAGCTTATTGCTGCCACCAATGCCTATCTGCAGGCCAATAACTTGACGGATATTTGCCAGACCTTGAAGCTGTCAAATATAGAGTCGGTTCAGAGAAAAGTATCTGTGCAACCAAAGGAATTTGAGTCTTACCTGGTCAGGTATGAAGCAAAGCCAGAGAATGCACTCTTTGAAGCATCGACGGACTGGGACAAAAGGACGCAGCTAATTTCAATAAACGTATCTGACATAAGTCGATTGGACGCCTACAGTGAACTATCCAAGTGCGTAGACGATAGTATAGCTAAAAAGTTTTGCATTTGCTTCGACATGCCAGAGCCCAAATGATAAAGAAATATTTATCTCTCTATTATATTAAGTAAATTAAAATTGGTTTTTATTTGAATTAAATTAAAAATTTGTATTTTTAAATTGTTTACAGATTTGTCTTTAATATGCTGACATGTTATTAAATTAAAATTAAGATTATAAATGCCCTATTATTGATATACCTATAAACCGATTGTTGTTAATAAGCATATGAATATGAGGCCAACTGAACAATCCCTTCATGCTTTATCTTTAAGCTTAGCCAATAATGACGATTTAGATTTAATGAATTTATTAAAACTATTTTTTTTCATTAAATTTTATAATAAAAGCAGATAACTTTTGTTATCGTTCGTGATATGAACAGGGTATATTAGTTTTTTGTAGTTTCCGTTTTATTTCCGGTGATTTTTGAAAATCGGAAAGATTTGATCCATGCAAGTTTAATAACAATAATGACCAAATTGTGTTGGTATTTCTGGGACTGTGTTGGTATTTCTCAGACCTTCTGCAGCCACTTTGTTCGAGGAAATTCGAATATAATAATTTTGTAACAAATTCAAAAATTTCATCTGTTTTTCGTACATTCGTTATGCTACCGACTTTACCGTTGTTTTTTTTTTTTTTTAATTTTCAAAAAGCGTGTAGGAAATATATTTGAATAGTATAGATTGGAATTGACGTAGTTAAAAAAGAAAAATGATAAGACCTATAGCCCGGTTCAGCATAACCACAATCCATTATCAGTTGGATATGAGACACCGCACAGACCCAATATATTTAGCACGAGTGGATCGCTAATTCAATAACAAATGATGGTCTCCAAAATGGCCAAAAAACTTCTTTTGAGTTGCTTTTTAATTCTTTTGATTGTTTTGTATAATGAGCGGTACTTCACTCAAACTACAAGGACAACTATGGCAAAGATATCCACTAAGATGACAATAAAATCGTTAACTTCAGCGCAAGGTAATGTGAGTCCAAATAGAGTCCAATTCAACAGATGCCAATACCTTGAATTTTAACAGATTCCAACATAATCAACTTCTTTGTGAACACCCCGAAGTGTCGGATGCCAGCCCCTGATCCCTTTATGCCTGAGGCTCTAATGATATACAGGAAAGTGCCATATGAGCAGTGTGAGCCCGGTAAGGATCTCATCAAGGTGAATTTTAAGGACGGCATCTACAGTCTGCATATGAACGAAGCGAATTTAACCTGTTGCTATAAACAGATCCTGCGCTCCGGAGTTGGCGCCACTGCGGATATGGAGTATAAGTAAGTACAGTGCAGTACATTAGAATTTATAATGATATATATAATTTATAATTATAGATTGCTGCCATGTAGTAATTTTCATCAAGACTTTGATGTTCCACGTCATGTAGATGCCATCATCACCGAGTGCCGTCGACTAAGCGATAAAAAGCTGTTGCAACAAGATGCTTTCAGCTTTGTGCAACCAGCTAAACATGCAGACAATCTAACAGCTATGAATGATTCAAGCTCAAGTGAATCCACTAAGAGAAGACCAAGTGTTCTACTGTGGGGCATTGATTCATTGTCGAGGATGAACTTCCAGCGGACTATGCCGTTGATGTTCAAGTATCTCAAAGAAGAGAATTGGTTCGAGTTGCAGGGCTACAGCAAGGTATGAATTGAGTATCATTTATTTAACTATTTAATATAATTTAGTTTACAACTCTTGCAGATGGCAGATAACACATTTCCCAATTTAATGGCGATTCTGACAGGATTCAATAACTCCCGTTCCATGTCTGTCTGCCGGCCAATGGCTGTCGCGGGCTTGGATGCTTGTCCTTTACTTTGGAAGAATTACAAGCAGTTGGGATATATTACAGCCTACGCCGAAGACTGGGACCAGTTTGCGACCTTCAACTACAATAAGAAGGGTTTCGTCAAACCACCAACAGATTACTATCTCCGACCTTTTGTGCTGGCCATTGAGAAGGAACTCAAATTAAATGTTACAGCCAGTATACCCTACTGTGTGGGTCGTAGACATTATGCGGAGTATATCTACGATTATGCAATACAATTCACGAAAGTCCACAAAAATGAATCCACCTTTGGCATGTTCTGGACAAATTCGTTTAGTCACAGCTACTTTGCGCTGCCCTCCTCCATGGATGCTAAGATGCTTGAATATATGCACTCATTGCAAAGAGTTGGCACCTTTGAAAAGTTCATTGTGATATTTTTCAGTGATCACGGCATGCGGTTTGGTCCACTGCGTAACCTGCATAGTGGGTTTCTGGAGGAGCGTATGCCAATATTTTATATATGGCTTCCGAATTGGTTTAAGGCAAAATATCCAGAGTTTGTGCATAATTTGCAGCTGAATAGGAATCGCTTAACGTCTCCGTACGACATCCACGCCACATTGAAGCACATTTTGCAGCTGGAGACACCGTTGGCGGACTTGCCACGACCCGAAGCATGCCCCACTTGCCATAGCATCTTCTACGAAGTAGCTGAATCGAGAGATTGCTCAGATGCGGGGATTGAGGACCATTGGTGCACCTGCCATGCGTTATATAATGCTTCAGACAATGTGATAAATAAAAGGGAAATTTCATATCAACTTATTTCTGCTACAAATGCCTATCTGCAGGCCAACAACTTGACGGATATTTGTCAAACCCTGAAGCTTTCATATATTGAGTCGGTGCAAAGGAAAACATCGGTGAGGCCAATGGAATTTGAGTCTTACCTGGTCAGGTATGAAGCCAAACCTGAGAATGCTGTCTTTGAGGCTTCAGCGAACTGGGACAATAAGACGAAGTTAATCTCAGTAAACGTGCCTGACATAAGTCGATTGGACGCCTACAGTGAACTATCCAAGTGCGTAGACGATAATATAGCTAAAAAGTTTTGCATTTGCTTCGACTTGCCAGTGCTCAAATGATTGAGAAATATATATTTAACACAAACAATTTATAACTTATTGGTGGCAGGAAAAAAAAATTGAAACTATTATTGATTATATTGCTAAACATATCTGATTTTTGCAAACTATAGCTGATAGTATAAATAAATGATCTGTATTAAAAAATGTATATGTAGCATAACTGCATAACTGAGGAAGAACTGATTGTTTCGATTTACTCATCGAGGCTTAACATTGAAACATTTATATTTCCCTAAGTGCTTAGATTAATATTCAAAATGTAATGTATTCTTCTGCACTGATAAGGCCGTATCAGAGCTTATGGGAGTCAATAATGAAAGAAGCTTCATATCGCTTTTTATAAATTTTCAATGCGATCGTTAGAATTGAAACACCACCACAATCAGTTGGATATGAGGCAGCACTCAGAACACAGCACAGCAAACCGTAAATGTGAAATGTGCTTAATATGTATTGATACCTATGGCAAACATTAAATATAGGTTAATTAGGCCGCAAGGTCCAGCGCTAAATGAACCCTCGAGTTTCCGATTAATTCTAAAGCTCTTTCTGGGTTGTTCCTCAATTGTTCTGATTATACTATATTACCAAAGATATTTCGTGGAGAGTGGAATATATGTGGACACTACAATGACATTAGCTACAATAACTACAACAAATATAACAAATATTACGAGCTCTACACAGATAACAATAAAATTGTTAAATTCAACGCAAGGTAAATGTGAAACTGAAAAGTATTTCATAAATTCAAATTCTTTGCATATTAACAGAGCCCACGATGAGAAACTTCTTTGTGGACACCTCAAAGTGTCGGATGCCAGCCCCTGATCCCTTTACGCCTGATGTTCTAATGATATACAGAGGAGTACCATATGAGCAGTGCGAGTCCGGTAAGGATCTCATCAAGGTGAATTTTAAGGACGGCATCTACAGTCTGCATATGAGCGAGGCGAATTTAACCTGTTGCTATAAACAGATCCTGCGTTCCGGAGTTGGCGCCAATGCGGATATGGAGTATAAGTAAGTACAGTGCAGTACATTAGAATTTATAATGATATATATAATTTATAATTATAGATTGCTGCCATGTAGTAATTTTCATCAAGACTTTGATGTTCCACGTCATGTAGATGCCATCATCACCGAGTGCCGTCGACTAAGCGATAAAAAGCTGTTGCAACAAGATGCTTTCAGCTTTGTGCAACCAGCTAAACATGCAGACAATCTAACAGCTATGAATGATTCAAGCTCAAGTGAATCCACTAAGAGAAGACCAAGTGTTCTACTGTGGGGCATTGATTCATTATCGAGGATGAACTTCCAGCGGACTATGCCGTTGATGTTCAAGTATCTCAAAGAAGAGAATTGGTTCGAGCTGCAGGGCTATAACAAGGTAGGTGTCCATGCAGTATACATATATTTGCCCCTATGAATTTATGAGATCTTTTCAGATGGCAGATAACACATTTCCCAATTTGATGGCTCTTCTGACTGGCTTGAACAGCTCAGGCTCTATATCCGCCTGCCAGCCAATGAATGTGGGCGGCCTGGATGCTTGCCCAATGCTGTGGAAGGATTACAAAAATAAGGGCTATATCACTGCCTATGGGGAGGACTGGAGTAAATATTCTACTTTTGACTATATGTTTAAGGGTTTTAAAGATCCTCCGACGGACTACTATGCACGTCCCTTAATCTTGGCCGTTGAGAAAGAGCTAAAGAAGAGATACGACATGGCTTTACCATACTGTGTGGGGCGTCGTCATTTTGCGGAGTACATTTATGACTTTGCCTTACAGTTTACGGAATTTTACAAAAATCAGTCCACATTTGGCATGTTCTGGACAAACACATTTAGTCATAATAATTTTGCCTTGCCCTCTTCCATGGATGCCAAAATCATTGAATACATGCGCTCATTGCAAGGAAGTGGTGCATTTGAAGAGTCCATTATTTTGTTCTTTAGCGATCATGGTATGCGTTTTGGTAAGCTTCGAGGATTGGAGAGTGGATTTCTGGAGGAACGGATGCCCATTATGTATATTTGGCTGCCGCATTGGCTAAGGCAAAAATATCCAGAGTTTGTGCATAATTTACAGCTAAATAGGAATCGTTTAACCTCACCATACGATATCTATGCCACTTTGAAGCATATTCTGGAGCTGGAAACACCTCTGGCAGTTTTGCCACGGCCTGAAGGTTGTCCCAACTGTCATAGTCTGTTTTATGAGCTAGATGAATCAAGAGATTGCTCAGATGCTGGCATTGATGAGCATTGGTGTACTTGTGTGGACTTCGAAAATGTTCCGAAAACTGATTCAAAAGCTAAATTAATTGCCCAACAGTTGGTAGAAGCAACGAATAATTACTTGGCAGCTAAGAAGTTAATTGGTATTTGTCATATCCAGAGACTGAGTAATATTGAGTCCGTGCAAAAGAAAATTTTGACAAACTCAAGGCAATCCAACTCATACCTGGTCCGATATGAAACGGAACCAGCAAAGGCGCTCTTTGAAGCAACGGTCCAGTGGTACGACATAAGCCAGAACATCACTATTTCTGTACCCAGCATCAGCCGAATGACGTCTTACAATGAACACTCCATGTGTATAAATGACAAAGTGGCCAAAAAGTTCTGCATCTGTGCGAACCAAGGCAGTTGACTCAATCAGTTCCGGCTGCCGAAGTGGTTGGAGTACCGCATAACCACAGACAGGAATGTAATTGCCCTAGAAAAGATGCATCTGCATTCCTTCGTGTACTCGAAATCACTAAATGTAGCAGTAACTCAATTTTACGAGCATTGTTGCCAATGCCTATCGCCAGTTCCGATCTCACCCCAGAATCTATCAGGCAAATTAGTTTACAATTATATGACAATTGCAAGAGACAATTGCGGCCATATCAGCGATCGGAGTACAGCTGTTTCATCAGTTGTACTGTACGAATGGAGAAGTTTGTTTTAGTAATAATCTTAACAATAAAAAAGAAAAAATGAAATTATTTACTTTGTATCTTATCTATGGGTCAATAGCTTGGGCGCAAATCACTCAAGTAGTCGACAGGTGAAAGAGGTTGGTAAAGATTAGTTAATTCTTTTAAATTAAAGAAATAAACATATTAGTTGCTTAGTTGCTTAGCCTATTTTAATAGATTTCATATAAATGATATATAAATAGAATTCAACAGAAAATGAGTTTTCTGCTTAGCAAACATATGCCTGCAAATTCAATTGTAACTGATACTTTGAGCCGAGTCTGTCGGCAGAACTCGTTATTTTGAAAACAAAATTACGAATCAATCAAAACATATTAAAATTTGGGACTCAACTCGTATTCCCATCGAAAATGGCGCAGCAGATGAGTAGATTAGAGCGAGGGGTGGCCAGGCAGGCCATGCACCACCCCGAAAACCACCAGCGACAACCACAACACAAAACGCAAGCATTAAACAGCAGCAGCAGCAATATTTGTTGATACAGATACGGATATGTATAAGCTACAGAGAGAAGGCCATTCAAATCACTCAAGTATCTGTATCTGTATCTTATGCTGGGCGGGCTTCCGAGGGCCGGTTCCGTGTGTCAACTTCAATTACTTGCGCTGCCTAATCACGGTCCTATAAGGGTAATAACAATGCACAGCCTACCTGGGCAGGGCCCAGAGGCAGGGCAACGCCTTTTAAACGCCTCATTGCCCGCAAATGAGACTCGAGTACCTCAATGGAATGTGTGACAAGGATAGCGATATGGTATGTGGCTGTGGTGCCATTGCGGTGCACAAAATGGTGGCTGTTCCTGTGTCGACAGCGGCCTTAAATAGCCAAGGATGCGCAGAGCACTGAACAGTAGCAATTCAGCACTGGCACACTCGAGGATCATGAGTGACTTCAGCATCGACTACATACTGAACCGCGCCGGTGATAGATACGTCGGCACCAATGCCTCATTAGGAATTCTGCAGCGGCTCAGATACCATCCCACATATCATCCATATGCGCAGCCTGCACTCAAGGAACAGTTGCCATCAACAACAGCCGCGTCCATGGATGACGGACCAATGCCCATGTACGATTGGCTTCAGTACACACGTTACCATCCGCCCAAGCTGCCACGCGCGTTGCGTCAGGGACCCGCAAAGCGCACACCTGGACGTCTGCCTCGTATTCCGTTTACGCCCGCCCAGCTCCAGGCTTTGGAACGAGCTTACAAGGAATCAAACTATTTGAGTGCGGAGGATGCTAACAAGCTGGCCGACTCATTGGAGCTAACCAATACGCGAGTGAAGATCTGGTTCCAGAATCGTCGTGCCCGGGAGAGACGTGAGAAGCGAGAAAAGGACGAGAGCTGCGACTCGACCTTCTCATCCAACGCATCTAGTCCAGAGCCGGAGCAGGATGTGTTAATCATTGTATGAAAAGTCCCTTGAGTCTTGCGCTTAATGAAAATATTTAAATTTGGCTGTTACTGTGTAACTTGTGATTGTATTTGGGTTGATGACCTTTTGTAAATAATACATTATTGAATACATTTATAATTATGATACGAAGACAATAAATAGATTTTAAGCAACATTTAAATTGTATGAATATAATCCACAATTGATAACACGAATTATAAACTTATTTCAATTTAGTATACAATTTCATTTAAATAAAATAATATTAAAAAAAAAAAACCGTGAAATATTGAGTTTAAACTTCGATAAGAATGAAAATTAACTTTTTTATATACCTTAAGTTTAACTTTTGAAAACAGATATTATTTTGCCAAAATAATCTGGTTTTCTTGACCAATATGATAAGCTTGATCCTATACGCAAATTGATTATAAGGTGAACATCATTTTTTTGAATGCATTTTTTTTTTTTTTTTTTTTTTTTTTTTTTAATATAGTTTTATTGCAGCTTTTGTCGTAAACTCTATGGCGCATTTGTAAGGGTACCTTAACTAATGGAGTGGCTAAATGCCTTTATTGAATGCATTTAAAAATCATTTTTAAAGATTTCGGAGACTTTACTTTCTCAATTTAAGCATGCATTTGTTTGTTCAAAATTCAACTTTTTTTGTGATGTGTACAAATATTTCAATAAATTAATTTCCATAATATTTTTAGATTCTTATTTGCTTATAGGTATTTTCTATAGATTTGTTATGCAAACTTCCAAAGATAAATACGATCTGCCTTTACACACGATATTTTACTTGGATTATTATAAAGTATATAAAATTAATATAAATGAGATATTAAAAATCTATACATATATGTAAATTATGGACACTTTTACATCTCCCAGAATATGAGTTAGCTTTATAATTTTGTGCGTCTATAACTATTCAGTACAACATCCGTCGAGAGCTCATATTTTATATCAGGTCAGCTAACATAATGCAAATTACAAATTTGTTTAAGTAATTTGATCTTTTTGATAGGCAAGGTTGTGTTGCAACTTGATTGATTCTATTCCCACACATGCCTTCATTACGCATTGCCGCCAAGGATATCATGAGAGAGCGCGAATCATGTGCAAACACTGTGGGTAAAAACTATTCAGTCTGGGAAATTTCTTTTTTAGAAATCATCAATGAAAAGGAAGCAACTCGCGTGCCGGAAAAACAGCAAACAACGAGCGAGAGGCGGGGCGTATCCTAAGCCGATTTTGCAATTGTTGCTGTTTTCATGGTCAAGAATAATTTGTTTTTCCGCTTTCCTTTGTTTGCATACAACGAAAATATCAAATTACAATGCGGCGGCTTTCCTCGGCAAAAAGTGCCGACGGGTAGGGGAGTTCCGAATTTAAGGATACTTTTGCGAATGCAAAAGATTTGGCCCATTCGGCCAAGCTGTAAAGTAATTTCGTTTACGCAAATCCGCCTGCTATGTATACCTCAGCCATTGCTTATCCGATCATATAGCCATATATCCATACTAGATGGTAGGCCAAAGGACACCTGAATCACAATCAGCCTTTACCGGTATAAAATGAACATCTTCTGTAGAGAGCGAAGGGTTCTAAATTAATCACAATGATATACAAAATATATCAAATATATCCTTTCAGAGTTTATAGGCAATGTAGCGGACAAACTGCATTTGCTAGTCAAGAGATGAACATCAAATGTATGAAAAAAACTCTCAATATACGTACGCAAATTTCTTCTAATTTAAGCCACACTCATTAGTTGCAGATAATTCATGTAAATTTGCGAAATCGGCTTATGACCAGTATTCAATGAAGCTGTGTTTATGTTACTAATCTAGTCCTGTTTGACAAACAATGCGGCAATATTTATTCTAATGGCGTAGAATAACACAGCCATGCGCCGTCATGGGCTGCAAATGTACTCTCAGTAAATCCTATTCTTAAAGCCCAAAACAATGTGCAGGCAAAAGCGACGCACGCACATAATGCCAAAGTGGGTCAAGTCGGGCATAGAAGTCTAGACGTGGTTGGATTAACGTAATTCCTATTTTTACGTAGATTGAGGTAAGCACGCAATGTGGCTTAGCGTGGCGTCAGGCTGGTATTTGTCATATGCGCTTACTATGTGTGTGACATAAATATATACAAAATATATTCAAAACTAGGTTCGATAGCTAAAACTTGAAATTTTTGTAATCTCGTAAATTGCTTATGTACAAATACATTTTTAAAAATAATTTCCTATTAATGTCTCGCGCCATTACGTATTGAAAAGTCTGGCAGCACAGTTACATCTAGCAGAGTTGCCCGACAGTAATAGCGCTCTCTAGCGACAACTACAGCCGATTACAAAATATATCGTATCGTTGGCAGCCCTAATTTCTTTCTTTTCGATAGATCCGCATTAAAGTGACAAGGTGAGCAATTTTTTGGGCTAAATTTTTTGATATTTCAATGGTTTTAATGACTTAAATGTGAAGAACTCTGTATATAAAGTGTACCGAACATGTTCTGCACAAAATGCAAAGCATGGCGTACGGCCAGATAGTGAAAATATCAGTGCAAATAATTACACGTGTTTTCTCACTGCTTCAGGCTTAGGTTGTGAATGTCAATTAAATGTAGTTTTATTGATTTTCAGAGCACATCAATATGCAGCTTTTCGTACGTGGCTTGGAAAACATTGAAGCTTTGGAAGTGTCCCAGGATGCTACCATTGCTGGCGTCAAGGTGAGTAATTGTTGTAGTCACAACAAAAACTTCACCCTAACCTAATTTCGTTTGTTTCTCGCAGAGCCAACTGGCCCAGCTACATGGCTTCGAAACTGAAGAGTTCAGCCTGAACTGCGAAGGTGCCACTCTAACCGATGAAACACCTGTGACAGCTCTGAGCTCCTTCGAATTGGATATTACCATTCCCATGATTGGTGGTAAAGTGCACGGTTCTTTGGCGCGTGCCGGTAAGGTCAAGGGACAAACGCCCAAGGTTGAGAAACAGGAGAAAAAGAAGAAGAAGACTGGTCGTGCCAAGCGCAGGATCCAGTACAATCGCCGCTTCGTCAACATTGTACAGGGCTTCGGCCGCCGTCGTGGCCCCAACGCCAACTCTACGTAAAGTGGATCAGTTTGCAGAAGGATTGATGAACAGAAGCTGAGCTATTTTTATTGCAAAATAATGTTCATATAAGTAATTTTCAACAATTAAACAAAACTTATTTTACGCATTTCAAGCTGTAATCCGACGCATCTTATGTGTTTCTCAATTGGAAAAGGGCACACGTTTGCGCTCCCTGCTAACCACAAAGAACCGGTGATACCAGAACTCAAAGCAGCTCACAATCGTCGCCAAAATTACGCCAAAGAGTAGTACCATAAAACAGCCCTGCATATCATCCATGTTAACTTTGTGATTGGCAATCTGACGTTGCATATTCTTTCCATTACATTTGTCCATGGAAGGCAAATTAGTTTTATGCCAGCGATCAATGAATCCCATGCGGAAGAGTCTATCTATGTGGTGGTTAATCAAATGTAAATAAGCACTGCCTGTGGGCACCATTAATCCAATCTGCTCATCGACAAAATCTTCCTTGCCTAATGCAAATCGGCACTCCTTATCCAACTCAAAGTGCTGTTGTACAATAAGCTGGAGGTTAATACGCCAATCGATATTGATCCGATCACCATGCTTCACTGCATCAATATTCTCGCTCTGTACGCTGTTGTAGATTGAAGAGCGCGCAATGAACCGCTTGAAGTCCTCCCGTGTCGTGGCCTCTACGTACTTCTCAAAAAAGGTGCCATTGCGCAGGCCGTATTGCTTGATTTCCTTATGAGCGAACAATTGATGGAGGTAATCAACGCCCGGCTGAAACTTTGGGAATGTTAGAAATGCAACGAGATTCCCGCAATAAGTGGTAACCAATACGATAACCACGAGCCACCAGAAGCCAACCACCAATCTTCCACTATCCGCACGAGGCAGATACATGCCACCTATAGGATTTTTGATTGATTTTAAAATATATATTCTATATCTATATCTATGCTGACGGTACAAACCTTGTTGCAGCAAGGCTCCATAAATATACCAGAAACAGTTTTTCACGGTGGACAGACCGTGAATTCGAAGCTCAGGTAGTGGCATTAGACGATTTACGAAGTACAGTATGGGCGCCGTAAAAAGCAAAATCCCTGCCAGGCATCCCCAGGTCTCTAGGGTGAACGGAGCCGTGAACAGATAGATGCGACTCACCTCATCCGGTTGGCGGAGAATGAACGTGTACTTTTGTATACTTATGGGTTGTGTGTAGTTGAAGTGTTTCTTGGATGGCTCATCAATAGTGGCGGCCACGGCGCCCATAAAGTACGCATTGCTTTGCATTAACTCAACCACTCGATAGGGAATGCGATAGGTCATCGAGCCCATCAATTCATCCTACAATTGGAGTCTATCGTTAAAATATATCTTTTATATTTTCAATTATATCCATACACTGTCATTCATGTTCTGTCTGATCGTGTCATCAGTATCCGATGAATGGCCCTCATGCAAATAGTAGCTGAAGTTCAAGGCGCGGCTTAGTTCCTTCAATATTTCCATGACAATGCCCGAATGCTCGACGATGACGCCGCGACTATCCTTGGTTAAGATTTGCCAGGGAGGATTCTACGAGAGATTTGAACCAATAATAAGATGAACATATATTCCTGGCTCAAAGACTCACATGCACTGTCACAATGTCCATGGTGATGTTACGAAAATGGTGATCAATATGGGGAAAGGTTAGCTCATGACACATGAAGCCCAGCAATGGAGTCCAGTAACCAATATTGATGAACTCAAAGTTCCGATTCTTAGCATCGCGAGTAGGCGCTAGAAGTAAGGAAAGCTATTTAAATTAAGTCCAGTTGGATGCATTACACCTACTTGTGCGAAATTTTCGATTTTCCTGACTCTTGCCCCAGGTGATGGCTGTTTCAATGCGCCAACGTGCGCAGCTTGCGCATTTACTGTTTGCCTTAAGGTATTCCTGGAAATTCGCAAAGTAAATTTTAAGTAGCGTAATTCCATTAGTTTTGCTTACTTTCATGTACTCAAGCATTGCGTCCTGTTTCTCTTGCTTGGTAAAACGTATCGACTCCCACTCCTCATCGGATATTTTGCCATATATGGATTGCTCTTCGAGTATCATGCGTGACAGCGAGGTGACCACAGCCATTGAAACTTCTGATATGGTACAGTTCAATGTGTCCACGCAATCAGAGACCGTTTCGTTCAGTGCAAAGGCTATATTTGCACCCTCATCTAGATTTATGGTCACAGTATTGGCATCAAAGTCACCACGCTGGTCCTCCAAAACAAAGAACATCCACTGATTGTTCACATGGAACATACTCAGCGTTTCGGCTATCTCAATAATATCCTCATGAAATTTGGATATTACCAAAAATTGTTGCCGTTTCAGCTCATGTTTGGCGGGTGCAAATTGAGACAATGCCTGACGCAGCGCCATGCGTTTCTGAGGCCCACGAAGCGTTTCGTCAATGTTGTACAGAGTTAGTGATAGTGGTGGTATGTGGTTGGTGGTGCTCTCGTGCACGACTGACTTGACCAGCATTGGATTGTTCTCAACTATCGTAGGGAATGAAAAAATGCACACTTTATGCGGACTCCATAGCTGTGAATTTATGTTTGGAATACCCACGAATATTTTGGTCTACGAGCACAATCACCGACTTCCACTTAAGTATTCTCTGAACTTTGGCATCGAGCACGATTTGGGGGAGCTCATCGCCTTTGGAAACCATAGGAATCTAGATAGAGAAAGTGAATATCATGAAATAAAAGCATTCAAATTATCTCACCATCAGCGCACGATTTACTGGCAGACGTGGGCAATCCGAGTCAGTAATCGCAATCAGCAGTATAGATGATCGTTGAGTGCTTTTATAAAAGTTCCAGGTGCCCTCGCAATCCGTCACTGTTATGGCTGCCAAAAAGTCTATCGAGAGGCTATATATTTTGGCAATGGTATTTAAAGTAAATTTTCCATATTACCTTTCTTAATTTTGACGGAGTTCCATGTAAAGTAGCGCACATTGATGCCGCCTATCTTCATATTCTCGCGTATTATATCACTGAGAATCTTTTCAAAATGCGCCATTATATTCTGCCGATGTGTGGCCATGTATTCATAGTCCACGACCACAGCTGGAAGGATCATAATGAAGAATCGACCAAATGGTTTTTTGTAGATTTCCGTGCTCACCCAGCGAGGCATTGGCGCTCAGAAACGATGCAAAGTCATTGGCCAGCACTGGAGCTGGAGAGTTGAGCAAGCCACAAAGAAAACTGAAGACTAAAGACGATAGCTTCATGATGTGCGAACTGTCGAGAAGCAACTAAAAAGTGAAAGCGAACTATACCAGCGACGTTGCCTCGGATTTCCTTTTTTTTTTTTTTTAGGATATAGCATAAAGCCAATTAAAATCATGTTTGTTGGTGAGTGTACCATAGTTTCTAAAGCACATGAAATATTCAAAGGACAGAAAGAGTCAATGGAAAAGGGGCTTTCGGCGGCAAGCGATTGATTGACAGTTTGCGGTTAGGCGTCGACATCCACATCAAATGTCAGGTACGTCAGCAAATTGTTGCAGGTGTCCGGTAAAGGATATTCGGGCAAATTATTGTGTTTGCGGTGTTAACTTCGTTTATTTAATTATATATATGAAATTGTTCATCAAAATTGCGTGTAAGTTAATTACATTTTACAATCTTACAGCTAGGGAACAAATAAAACTATCGGACCTCTAAACTATAAGTTACAATTCACTTAGGTTACATTTTTGACTAGCTTTAACTTATGGTAGGGCTTTTATTAATATCAATTTAAATGGGTTTAGAATTATTTTGACAAAGTATAGAGTATATATTATATATTTTGTTATTTTATATATATGTTTATTTCTGTGTTTGTATGTATGTATGTATAATTTAGCTACACTTATTTCACTATTGTACAATTCCAAAAATGCTGTCATATATAAATGCATACGATTTCGATTGTAATTTGTTTTTATTGTGTATCTATAATATTTGTATTACGAAAGTATTTCAATCATATTTACTATGTGCGTATATGCTTCTTACTTTTTTTTAATATTTTTCGATAGCTTTTGCTTGTATATATATGTTGGATTCTCAACTATTGCTGCCTTTGAAAATGCTCTGTGTGCAACGTCCAATTCATTGGTGGCGCCACTCTTCTGTGTTTACCCAAATAGCATTTCCTCTCCATCCTTCAGTGCACTACTTAACGAGTATGCCAGAGTATATTTATAAATAGCTATACTACGTGTTGGGATTAATGCGTTGCAGTTAGCTGTGCCTGCATTGTTTTTATTCCTGGTCCAAACTCTCGACCGACCCATTTTAAACCCATTCATCATGGGTTTACAATTTTCCTCATTCATTTAGAATTGCGCTTAGACGCTCCTCAACGGCTACTTTGCGTGACTTCCACACGAATTCACATACGGCTATGACACACGCCACGCCCATGCCGCCCATAAGTACCACAAATACGCCGCCCACATTGGCCAGACCCAGCTCATTGGCTGCCGACGATGATTTTGAGGTTTCAACACGGCATTTGCCACCTCCGCGCTTTTCCTTCCACCATTTGGTTTTCAGGATGTGCAGCTTGCCCTCCTCCTGGAGCTTGAGTATGACGCTATTGATGGCAGTGCGATAAGGCGAGTCTGTAATTGATGTAAGTTCAGCATGAATAGACTCAAAAAGACTGAACTTCAATGACACTCACTTGGCGGCGTGGCTATTCCATAGCTTTTTGTATCAAGCATGCCGCCCACTTGGGTTAGCTCACAGTTACGTTCGGTGACATACTCAATGGATGTGGACTCCATTAGAAATGCATAGGAACCTTTGCCCTTGGCCACGCGCTCTACACCTTCACCATTGCTGGCTGTAAAGACCGAGGGTCGCGCCGATTCCATAAAGGACCACATGCGCTGATATGTAGAGATCTTAGATTCCTGTAAAAAGAGAATCAATTGTGGCCAGTCTTATTGCTTATTGAGTAGATGTATTACCCTGAAAAATGCCGCTGTGCTACCGCCTTTGAGAGCGCCATACTTGATTCTCGTCTGCTTGGCCAAGTCCTCGGCGCTTTCGATGGGCGAATCCATGCGCTCAACAGTCAAAAATGCAGCCAGATTGGCAGTGTAAGAGGAGATCATGATAAGCGTGAAAAACCACCAAATACCAGCTACCATGCGAGTTGACAGAGCTCTGAAAGGGAGACAAAAGTTATGAAACATGAAATATATAGCTAATTATGAAGAGCAACCTACTTGGGTAGAAAATCGCAGCCCTGCTGCATAAGAGATCCAATGGCAAACCACATGCAATTGAGCAATGTGAACTGACTTTCAACCTTCTCGCCATGGGCATCGGTATAGGCAGGCCACTCGTAGGGCGTGAACCTATGAAATATATGGAACTTTTTTTTATAAGCTTGGTCATAATTTAAACAAGACCTCAACCCACTTGGCTAATATAAAAAGCAGTACAGAGACGCCCAGATATGCTGTGGCCATGTAGATCCAAACATCTAGAGACAAAGGCGACAAAAAGGAGAACAAATTGGGCGGTTGTTTGATTGGCTTGCGATAGAGTATAGAGACTCCAAGGTTCATAAATGGAGTGGTAAAGTCAACAGCTTGCTCGCGCTCAAAGGTGATTGTGAGATCGGCTATGGCCAGATCGGCGCGCTGCTCCAACAGCTCGCGTATCATGCCGTTCCACTCGCTGTCGGAAAGAATAATGTTTAGCAAATCTACAACGAACTGTCCTCGCTCAATAAACTTACCCAGTCATTTTATTTAAGCTGCCGTAGCTGCCATCGGGCACAAGCTGAATCTTATAGTTAAAGCCCAGCGATCTGGATATCTCGTGTATTAGATCCACTGCGTAGCCTTCAAACTGATCGTTACCCGTTAAAGGCACGGCTGATTCCTTGCGCATGCAGTAAGGATTGCTCTGTCAAAGAGAACGAGCAATGCTCAAACTAATCCACAGTTGCTTTCAGAATACTCACCAATATGGTTGTGACCACCAATGTCTTGTTCTTCAGATTTGCCTCGATCTCTTGCTGTTTCTGGCTGAAGGTGCGCGTAAAGTTGATGCCTTCGGGCAACGTTGAGTTCCAGGTGCCTATTTTTCGTATACCGGCCGGTGTGAGCTCAACGATGTCCAGCATAAAATCTGTACGAAATCCCTGATGATCAAACTTAATCACATTAGTCAGGCCCTTCATCTCTACAATTTTCATGTAGTTAATTAAGCTGAAGCCATGCTGCCAGGTGCTTTGGCCATCACAGCTGATCGGATGTATATCAATCTGCTGCGAGGTGTCCAGGTCATGCAGCGCCTTGGCAAACAGATGCACTGCATCGTACATGAGCGCCGTCTCGGAGCGGACGGTTGTTAGATTAGCCGAACGCAGCATGCCCTTATCATCGATGCTCCACTGACGCACCACATCCGAGACGACTTTCTCATTGATGAGGCGGAAGCCAGTGATGTTTGTGCCGCCATAACGAAACTCATCCAGGTTCACAGTATGCAGATCTAGAGACGTGACTAAATAGCTATGATAGTCGCTCATCATGCCGATCTGTTGTGCCTGCTTGAGAACTTCATGAACCCGTTCCGTAGAGCAATCCAGCACAATATGCGCCTCCGCCGAGTTCTTAATCTGTTTCAGCAGAGGACTATAATTGCGTTGATTTAATAGGTCATTAAACAAATTCATTTGCTTATAGGTGAGCCTACCGATAGTCTCCGCTGTCGCTGAGCTGTCGTACAGTAATTGGAAACGGTGTCATTCCATGAGCCTTCAGCAGCTCCTGCAGTCGCACAATGCCATCGTTATTCTCATAGATAATGGTAAAAGTCTTCCAGCCCCAGTGGCGCACAATATCCACATAAGCCTGAGTTAAAGCACAAATATCAAGAGCTGAAGCACAGTTTGCACCGCCACACAATAAGGAAACGTTACCTTGGAGAGCGTGTTTGGATGAGGATAAAGATTCACCAGGCAACTTTCACGTCTCAGTCGGTAATCCCAGCGATTCTCCAAATGTGGTATCTAAATAATTGTGTGCAACAGTCATCATACATTAAGGCGATTTCATACCCCTACCCCCATCTACAGTTAAACTATGATGCCACTCACCTCCATGTTGTCGCAAATGCTTTGCACATGGCTGGCAGTGTGCGAGGATTGCGGACCGAAAATTGCAGCAACGCCAATGTTCAACAAGCCGCAAACTGAAAAAGGATATGAGGAGGTTTAATGTATAAAGCGGATTCCCAGTTATTGGCCAACTTTTACTCTGACTGGCGAAAAGTCTTAAGAAAGATGTAGCAGAATGTAGTGAGAATAATATAAGTCCCATAAGAGAGCCACCGAGTCGCAAATTGATTTTCACGTAATACGCTTTCTGCTGCTCCCAATCCAAATCCCAATGCACCTTCTGTATGAGATTATCTCGACTGAATCTCCCGATTTGTGGCAGCCAACATAAAATGGGTCCAAGTAGCACGTATACTACTTGGCCGCATATACAGTAACGAACATTCGTTTTGCCTAGTTCGCATATTTAAAATGCACTTCAAACAGACATAATTCCATTTTGCCTTTCGGCTTTGGCTTTGGCTTTGGCTTTACCTTCTACCTCAGCATCCGTTAGCTCATCAAATTACTGAGCACATGCAAGTGCATCTGTGCATGTGTAGTTAAGTCCACACATATATGCATATGTATATGTTTGTGGGTGGATATGGGTGGATGATTGCACAGCTTGACTGTGGTAAATAATGCACTTAGGTCCCTTGCAGCCATTTACTATCCTGCTAAATCGTGTTTAATTTTGGCTTTCAGTACTGTGCCGTCAGGTAGCTTTGGCCATGTACATAAATGCTTAATGAGTGCCTTTACATGTCCCTCGTATATCAGAGTGTCACTATATTCTCTGTATTTAATTTTTTTTAATAAATTTCAAGGTTCTTCTAAACTACAAATTTAAGCCCGGTCGATAAAATGCTTATTTATATATATGTAAATATGGTTAGTTGAAATAATTTGTAAAATTGGTTATGTTTTATGTACTTAACTATATCAAATTTATTTAATTCGATTTATATATTTTCTGCCAATCAATGCCAATAACAATAACTAAACTGACTTAAAGTATTGTTTAACTTTAAGTCAGTTTAGTTATTTTATCAATGAATTGAAAGAGATGTCTAAACACAATAAAATGAACCTGCGATATGTCTGAAATTGTGCGAT